GGGGGGGGGGGGGTTTAACTATATAGCCGCTAGGCCAATTAAAAAGATGGGGCCTCTCTTACAACAATTTCTAAAATGTAATTTAAAAAATACATTTTTAAAACAATGTATAAAAAAATTTACCTTCAAAAACTCTTTGTCAACACTTTTTAGAAAGTTAACCACTTTTTATCCCTAATTTTTTGGATAAAAAATCAAATGGTAAAATTGTATCGAGAACTTTCATATGCTCCTGATTTATTATCAAGTTTTTCTCGATTATTTAGACAAAAAAGTTAAATGGTGAGATTATCTTGAGAACTTTTTTATTTAGGCTTCTTTCTGTTCAACTTATTTTTTCCTGCTTTTTTCTTATTCTTATTAAAATCAGAACAGATCAGATTAGATCTAATCAGATTAGATCACATCAGATCCAATCAAGAATTATTATTATTACTATTATTATTCTTAAAAATGAAAAAGTATAAACTTTAGAAACAAGTTAAATAGAAAAATGAGAAAGTAATCATTAATTATTAGACGTCGAAAAAATTATTTTTAAAATAAATTGACAATGCCAATATAATTCTACTTTTAAAATATATTTTTATTGCTACCTGTACTTTGAGTTTCTAAAATATCGAATTGATCAACTTTGATTATGACTTAAAAAAATTAACATTTGATATTTATAAACAGAGTATATTTTAGTGCAACTGAAATAACTATTATATCTATGGTGTTATATTAATCATAAAAAAAGTTTTGTAGTACAAAGCACACGTTGATATTTTATAAAGATGAAATATTTTAATAAAAATACTATCTCTTCTCTATATTGATTATCTAAATTTAATTACTTTTTTTAATGTATATATGAATTAAATATTTATCAACCTATCAAGCTAGGAGAGCTATCACCCCACTGAAGTTTGAACAATTAGCCTCTTATTTGGGAGAGTCATATGGATGTTATTGGACCACTATATCTTTGACAACGGATCATTTTTTTACATCATCATATTACTAGTACCATTAAGAAAAAAATTTATGGGCCTTAGGCGACCACTCTCTGGGCCTACCTCAAAGCCAGCCCTATTAATATATACCTTAAACTACCTTCTTAATTTAAGTATCAATTAATAATTAAGTAGCTAGAGTAAGTAAAAATTGATCCTACAAAGATAGAGAATTTAGAACAGTTTACAATTACTGCTTTATTTAATTATTTATTACGGAGTAACACTAAACGAATACGAAGTATTGCCCTTATAATACTCCATATCACTTAAGAATTCACCACGGAACCTAAGACGAACTCATTCGCTTGATGGGAGGCTTGATCATCGTCAGGCCATGTAGGCAACTCATGATAGTGCACCCCATCATCATGGGTAACTTGAAGATGTGTTATGAGGGGAGGGGGTCTTGACCATTTCTGACCGGGTGGGGGGGGGGGGGG